AACCAATCTTATTCTGACTGTTATTATTGACTGGTATATTTTTATCACACACATGAAATATGCAACATCTTTTCTTTGGTATCTAGTTCTTCTTTGTGCATTTTTAATTGCTTTATTATATCTTCATTCTAACAAAACTCGAATTAAATATGATACTATTAACACTGTTTAATAAAAATTCATTTGTTTAATACTATTAATACCATTTTAATATGTTACGCCTCTATACTGATAAGTACTTCCATAATTGTCTCCACCTCCATAACTCGGTGCTAAATTATTTTGCCCATATGATCTTTGTGTACTGTATCCATATCCTGAGTTCTGATTAACTGAATTACTTTGCTTCATATTATTATAGCTGCCATAGTCTGAACCAGAATAACTGCTTGAAACAGATTGATAAGTATTTCCGCCACGAGCGTTACTACCACCTCTTCCTCTTGAAGGACCTCCTCTTCCTCTGTTATCACTATTTCCTCTTCTACTATTATTTCTATCACTTCCCATAAATCGTTTACCACCTTATACATTAGAAGTACATATATTAAAAAAATTCTTTAAATATAGTGTGTATTAAATGTAGAGGAAACGTGAAAACATACTTCTGCTTCCATAATTTCCCGATTTTGCCAATTCTGCCATTTCAGTGAGTCGAGGATTTATGTTTTGTCCTGCTTCCTTTAGTACTTCTATTAAATCTCCAGCATGTTTCATATTATGGCTTGTGAAGAATGCATAAGCAGTTCCAGTCTGCCTTCTTCGACCAGTACGACCAATTCTGTGTATGTAATCTTCTGACGATGATGGATAATCAAAATTTATTACATATTTGACATCATCCACATCTATGACAAAATGTTTGTATTTATAAGGGCAATTATATGTATTTGACTATTGTTAATGCATTTGTTTTTCTCAGCGAACTCATAGAATGATCTTCAAACTTGGGAATAAATTTTGAATACATTGGATGTTTACATTATATAAAGTACTGAATAGCTTACACAGTTTGTAATGGTTCAGGATGGAACCCTTAGATTTTTACTTAAAAAATAATATTGATTTGTAAATCAGGTTTGAAAACCACCCACCTTTCGTTTAGAATTTCCATTGTAAAATCAGCAAGAACAGCCCCATTTACTTTAAAAGTAGGGCTATTCGGTTGTTTTCATATGAAAATGTATTGATGGCCTAGAGATTAGACAGACACAGCGGTAGTGTCTGGTTTGGGATAAAGGCAGCATTTTAGGGTTTAAGCCTGAATGCATTAATCTTGTTAAGTATCGAACAACAATTTCAATAATTTTAGAGGCACTGAAAAATACTTTGAATTTTAATTAAAATAAATAATTAAATTAATCTATCAAGGGGGTTGAAAGTTTAACATATAGGACACAACATTATAAGAATACCTCTTAAATAATAATGAAATATGCAATCTTTTTAGCGTGAACTTTTCTAGAAAATAACTGTCATCACAAATTTTTAAAGTTTTGCATCTAGATATTATTTGTGATACCAATAATACATTTAGAAACATATTTTTTAAGAAATAGATTTGTATTACAGTTTGAATGAAATAATGAATAAAATACAAGCAAAGAAAAATATAACATTCACTGTGTCTGCCCAATACCGGCAGTACACCGCATTCACTTAGGATACTCTGTGCCTCTGAAAAAGAAAAGCAGACAGTCTTACTGGTAGCTGGTGTGCATTTTTATAGAACCCTTTTTATAAATCTGATTATTATAATTCATTATTGTTACTTACATATTTAGTTAATAATACAAAAATACAAACCTGTTACAGTATGTATTATAAAGAAATATAGAAAATAGGTCGAAAAATCTAGTCTAATATTTTCAGGGCTCTACTACACATTTCCAATGTATCGCACACTGCTACATACACTGCTGTCCACTGGTCTTACTAATAACGCATCACTGGCTAATCCGATAAGTGTTGCCAATTCCCAGATTCATTTGATATTGAAATATTATACATAAAAAAATGAATACCTACCTAAACCTCTAGCAGCTACATCTGTTGCAACTAAAATGGGAGCTCTTCCACTTTTAAATTCTTGTAATACATGATCCCTTTCTTGTTGATTTTTATCACCATGGATACTTAAAGCTTGCCATCCATCCCGTCTGATATTCCTTGTAATATCATCTACTTTTCGTTTTGTTTCAACAAAAATGATTGTCTTGTTTTCCTTTTCATTTCCAATTTCTTGAAGCAATCTATACAGTTTCAAGTCTTTTTCAAACTCTTGACAAACATCAATTATTTGAATAATGTTATGATTGGCAGACAAGGTCAAAGAACCAATATTAAGATGTGTGTAATCAGTCAAAAAGTCTTCTGCTAAAGCCCGAACCTCTTTGGGCCATGTGGCTGACCACATTAAAACTTGTCTATCAGGTCGTATTTGTTCAATTATTTTTTTAATTTGTGGTTCAAAACCCATATCCAACATTCTATCAGCTTCATCTAGTACTAAGTATGTACATCTGAAAAATATATATATTCAATGTCATAAATATAGAATAATTTAGATTAAAAGCTATAATACCTGCGTAAATTTGTTGTTCCTCTTTCCAAAAAATCAATGAGTCTGCCTGGTGTAGCAATGCATATTTCAACACCCCGTTCTAAGTCATGAGCCTGCGGTCCCTTAGGTGCACCACCAAAGATACAAGTGTTTCTTACACCTGCTGACTCACCAAAAGAATTAGCTACTTCCTGAATTTGTTGTGCTAATTCTCTTGTAGGGGCTAAGATCAAAGCAATTGGACCATCACCAGCACTAAGTCGTGGTTGATGTATAATGTGCACAATTGCTGGTAATATATACTAAAATAAAAATATATCTTAATATTTTTCATTTTAACATATAGATGTATTATATATTGTATCAAGATTTGGAGATATTATTCTACATATACTAGATAATATTTAATATTTAATATTTAATTGGGAAAACTGGCTCACTCCAAGAGTTTTTCCAGAACCAGTTTGAGCAATAGCAACTAGATCTTTTCCACTAAGTGCAATAGGCCATCCTTGTGCTTGAATTGGCGTAGGCTGAGAGTAACCCTGTTTATGTATTACTTCTAATACATAAGGTGGAAAATTTCCTTCTTCAAAATACTGAATGGGATTAGGAACATCATCACCTTTCACAGTTATTTCAGCATTTTCACGAAATTTACTTACTTCTTCTTTGGATCTGATAGAAGACATGTTAGTAGAATTTCATTTTCTCTTTTAGAATACGCAACTTCAAGAATTTTTACCTATTTCTAACTGAAGGATGTTCAACATAGAAATCTTTACGCAAGGGTTCTAAAGACCTTATGTCCCAAGTGATTTTTCTAAGTGCTCCTCCAGGCTGTTTGCCTTTTATTCCACCACGAATACTATTATTAATTCCTCTACCACGTCCACCAAATCTATTCATGTTATTTCCACGAATGTTATCACCACCTCCTCTACTATTTCCACGGCCACTGATACCACGACGTCCTCTACCTTGTTCTCTGTCTCGATTAAACCTAAACACATTATATGTCACCGCATATATCTAATTATACACTATATATTAGATGTAATATGTACACATGTATAAATTAAAACAAATAAAAAATTTCTGATTATGAATTTTATAGTTGTAGTGAATATGCAGAACCTCTTAATAATACGTCAAATTATTCACTTAAAAAATGAATAAAATGTATTCAAATACAAGAGAAATGAACAGTTGAGGGAGAAATCTGTGTTTAATACAATTTCACATAGGTATTTGCATTTCTATTATAATTTCATTTAACAGCCTTTAATTTATCGTGAACATTGAATAAAATACATAAACATATATCTATGCGTGTTAGAAATGATCACTATCTTTTTTTTTTATTACAAATTTCGATTATTGATTGTTGATACCATTGCCTCCTATACGATTCGGCGCTGCATGGCAAGTTGAATAAACTAGGTATTTCAGAGGAAACTTTTTACATTGGACAATACATACGAAAAATTGAACTTAAGCTACTATTTTGTGATGTTAAATTAAATTGTCATGCCATACTTACATTTAGAAATCGAAATATCCTCGAACACAATGAGCAACAGATTATTCCCTCTTGCGGTCAGTTCGACGAAGGCCAATCGATAATTTAGAAGAAGCAAATAATAGAATAATCACTTATCCTACTGTGTCACTGTATTCCATGTAATAAAATATTTTAAATCAACAAGTCTAGAAAAATTAAATAAATTAAATACTGCAACTAAAATACAGTGGCCGTATCTTTAAACTTGCCGGTAAATCCGACAGATCAAATTGACAAGTGAACTTCCGAAAGTAGTTCCGTGTAAACTGTTTCCATGACAGCATCGGCGTAGTAATACATAAGTAACGAAGAAAGTGCATGGAATAGACAGTTTTAGATAGAGTGGAAGTGTCCTTTCAAAAAAAAGATACATCAATAAATTTCGTCCAAAAAAAGATATATTTTTTCTAAAATAATTATGCATATTATAACTTAATCTGAAAATTTTATGATTAACTTGTTATTCGATTTGTAATACGTAATTAATATTCATGAGAAAACTATACATTAATTACAACACTTACATTAGATTTCAAACAACTTCAAAGCTGCATTCAAGGTCACGCAATTTAGGAACACAAACTTCAACATTTTGGACGGCGATTTCGCCTCTAGTCAAACGTTTATGTTTGTGGTATAATCACAAAGCCAACAAAGATTGTTGACGTTTAATAATGTTGGAATTACTGCGAGAATAATCTTAGAATGACAACTAAAATGGCACATGTAATTTCTTGTTTTTCTGTATTCATAGTTAAGAAATTATAATAAGGAATAAGAAATTTCTTATGTTTTATTGTAAATTATATTTTAGACTACTAACCTCTGATGATTTATATTGTATTTAATATAGTGTTGTATTTGTTTCTCAATGTTAAAAAGAAGTTTAGGAATTTAAAAATTACATATCTCACATTTCTGGCATTTTATTTTATTTTAGATATCTGATACTCTTAGGATTCTTCACTTACCACAAGAACTTTCTGATGACCGACGAAATGAATTATTTAAGAAATATGGTGCTATTAAAACGCGTACATTAAGGCCTTCCAAGAAGTATACTGTAACATTTGCAAAGTTTTCATCTCAACAAGCAGCTACAGAAGCATTATTACGTTTGCATCAATTAAATGTCAAAGGACAGTATTTAACAGTTGAATATGCGAAAAAGTCTATACCAATCGAAAGTATAGAAAATGAAATTCCAAATGATACGATTACGAAAGAGGAAAACAAAAAAGATTTATCAAACAAATCTAGTTTTCAAGCTTTTGTACAAAAATTGAATAATTGGACGATGAATCATGTTTTCACGCAACCACCTCCACCAAACGTATATTATAAGTATACAGCACCAACAAGAAATACATTAATAAGGATAGCTATACAATTGTTAAAAGAACCAGCTTTTTACACACAGGTAAGTTAAATAAATTAAGGTCAAATGTAACAAATTTTTAAAAGAATGTTTTTCATAGGTTTTACATTTAATGAACAGAATGAATTTGCCACCCCCTTTCGAGGAACTGGAGGCAGAGTTTCCATCACTGAAAGAAGCTTATAACATGAAAAAATATAAGGACATCTTTAGCAGTGACACTTTGTTCGACAAGGAAAATGGTACCAAAATTTATTTCATTTTTTTACAATTTGATTATAACATTCACTGTTTATGTTTATTGAAATAGGTTCTGACAATGATGAGGAAGAAGAATCTGAAATAGAATCAAATGAAGAAGATAATGCAATGCCACCTTTGGAAATCGTCCCTGTAAAGAGGAAACATGCGCAGAGTACAAAACGTCTAAAAATTCCAAAATTTGTTAACCCAGCTAAACAAATTCAAGCTGCAAGTTCTACACAAAAGATTGTCAAACCAGAAGATATGTTCGAACCAGTACAGCGTGCAGAGACAAAAAATCTTAAAATTGAGTTAAAGACAGTAGATACGTTTTTGGATACTTTAAGTAAAGAAGATAATACTACTACTGAAATTGGTACAGACAGTGGTTTCGGTTTAATGTTTCCATCCTCCAAAAATCCAGATACTGTCGAAAATGAAAACATGGAAGATATTCAACAAGATGTAATTACGTCCAAACAGTTGACAGATAATAAAATTTCAGCTAATGGTAAAAATATATTCCTTCCAGCAATTATACCGCATTTTATTGTAAAAAATATATGTAAAATATGTTTGTTTTTTATATTACAGATCAAAGATTGCTTCCAGTTTTTAAAAACTATCATCCCGGAAAACCATCAAACCGTTTATATATAAAGAACCTTGCGAAACATGTTGAAGAAAAGGATCTTCATTTTATCTATAAAAAATTTGTGGTACCTGATTTAAAAGCAGAATTTCAGTAAGAATTGTTGTTATAGATTAATATGTTATAATTGCATGAATTTCACTATCTAATACAATCTATCATTTTAGATACGATATTCGACTTATGCAAGAAGGAAGAATGAAAGGACAAGCATTTATCACATTACAAAATATAGAACAAGCACAATTAGCTCTTGATCAAACGAACGGATACATTTTAAAAGATAAACCAATGGTTGTGCAATTCGCTAAAGCAGTAAAAAGTTAGCCAAAATAACATAACAATCATTTATTCTTTTATTTATAAAACTCACCACTCGAACAATAATAATTTTAATAAACCGTCACATTTTCTTAATTTTTTATAAAAACTTTATTTATACATCCTGTATTCAATACAGTAGAATAAAAGAATGTTCGCTCAAAACATAACATAGATCTTAAAATTGGCGCGGACACAATATAAATAATATTCCGAGTAATATTCAGTTCATGAATCATTTTTTACTATATTACATTTAAAATATTGCCGCGTTTTTCAACGTCTCTCATTTTTTCCATGAAGTCTTTGTCTTTCATTCAGTGGTCCAGAGGGAAATGCATAGATGAAAATATGAATTTAAAAAACCGAGGCTACACCTGTGTGTATGTGTGCACGTACTTCGTGGCAAAATGCATAAAATGGAATCTCGCTTGATTCATTTAGTGGCATGTCATAGCCGCGTCAGCGGAGATCAGCGCCCGCCTGGCAGCCAGTAATTCCTGGACCTCCCGCTAGAGCGCAATGTTTTGAGTTCCAAAGATCTGTAACAAATCCTTACCTTACCGTATGCGTTGTGCGTCCGGTTCTCCGATCATCGTCGAGTTGTAACCGTATGTGCTGTCGCCGTCACTCTATTGCCGTCCCTCATTTCCGTCGTCGGTCTCACACACGTTAACACGTCCCTCGCATTGCCATGGACGTCAACCTGCTGCTATTCCAGCACTGGCAATATGCGTTACCTATGGGTGTTGTGCTCGTAGGCGCGATCCTCGTTTTCGTCTTCGGTTTCAAAAAGGCTGAACAACCACCTTTTGCACAACTCTCGGTGGGTTCCGACGTGGACCGGAAATTTGCCAACAAGAAACGCAGCAAGATCAAAGAAAAGGTTAGCACAACGCACGAAACGAGCAGTTTGAACAGTAATGCTTTTTTTCCCAATTAACTAACAATGTAAATGCGACAGTTGTACACCCATCGTCTACCCTCCATATGGTTACTTATTCGTGCCGAGCGATGGACACGCACACGTTGGTAATCAGCTGGTTTCCTTAGACGAAGAGCAGAACCTACCCTTGATGTATAAAACATGTGTGAATTAATCGTGTGCGAACCGTTTAAACCGAATATATTTCTTTCTGCTACGCTTTCCTGTGAATTTTTGTGTTTCTTTTACCGCGACATGTTTTGATACGGATGTTTAAGGTCCCGTACATCTGATTATAATGTTGACTTTGTGTGCCCACTTGGGTTATGAAACATAAGTATTAGCGGAAAAGTGTTAAATTCAATTATGTTTATTTCAGAGGTCTGCTAATGGCCAGGTATCGACGGAAAAAGCAAGTCCTGTTAAAAAATCTGTACCAACAAAATCGGAAAACACAAAGAAATCTACTTCTAAAGTTGATGATATTGATGGAAAGTTGAAAGAACAGAAACAGGATGATAATAAAACTACATTGAACAAGAAGGACAAGGATCAAATTGTAGCAAAGGCTGGAAAAGAAAACAAGGCTGAACAAGCAAAGAATAAGAAGAACTTGAAGAACTTGTTTCTAGAGAAACCAGTGGACTTTGATGAAGGTAATGTTTCATTAAATTTGGTTTTTAATTGTTTTAGTATTACAAAGTGAAGTTATTCTATATTCAATACATAGGAGATTGGGAGCAGGCTTATTCAAGGAAGGATAAAAAAAATAAGAAGAAAGAAGAAGAATCACCCTCAAAGAAAAATAAGAAAAATGCAAAGAAGGCTGCTGATTTGATTAATGAAGTGGTAGCTAAACAAAAAGAACCTGAAAAAATTGAAATTAAAGACAAAGTTGCCAAAGAAACTGAAAATAATGAATTGAAAGAAAAGGAGAAGAAAGATGTAGTTCTTATTCCTATCTCCAATGAAGAAATAGCAAAGGAGGCTGAAGATCAAAAGAAGGAGGAACAGCCTAAGGTATTTTATATATTATTTGTATATATTACTATATTGTATTATTATAATAATTTATTTCAATCTCTGTTTAAGATTGAAAAGGTAGAAAAAGAAGAGAAAAAAAATGGGAAACCCAAGAAAGGTAAAAAAGTTTCCGAAAGTGAAATTGCACCTGTAGCTATTCCAAAGGTAGACGATAAACTTCAGGAGCAAAAGACACAGAAGAATGAAGAAAATACAGAAAAAGTTTCCGACGATGTTGAACAAAAAAGTCCTAATGTTACGGAAACACAGGAGAAAAGTGGTCCTGTATTTGACGAGCTAGGAGGTAATTTCTTCTCTGTAATGTAGAAATTATGGTTGTCTGAATTTTTAGATAAACACCTATAAGTGTTTTTTTCTTTTTGTATGTGTTTCAGATATCTGGACAGAAGCTAAACCGCAAAAGAAAAGTAAAAAGAAAGCTCGTAAAGATAACTGAGAGTATTTAAATGTAATGAAAATTATATTCCTTGTGAAGAGGAATAATGTGAGAGTCCTGCTTAGTCCAAACGACATTTGTCATTTCGGACTTATCAGGTGCGTTTTAAGTGACTTACGAATCAACCACCTGACCAAATTGTTCCTTTCCCTTGTACATAACGCCAATGGGACTAGGTTGTTTGATGGATTATGTTTGATAGACTTCATGACTGTAGGTGCATAAGTGAATGTATGAAGAAAAAATCTTTATGTATTATTGATTTTTTCAACATACCACAATGGTTTGCTTTAACAAAAGCAATGCATTTAACGAAAGAGGCATAAGTCATAATTTTCTCTATAAAATAATTATTGTACACATGTTACTCTTTCAAAAATCTCCATATGTCCATATTTGACGGATTAGTATTCTATGATTTACAGCTATATCTATATTACATATTTATAAGGTCTTCATATTAATCTTACATTATTAACGAGATGGTACTTATGTCTTTTACGTTTTATCCAGAAATCTTAAACAGAGTGATTTTGTTAGGCTAGTTATGATTTTCTATCCTAACGAATAGCACATTCTTTTTATCGTATTCGTTATATACATACACATATATGTATATGTTATATGTATATAACGGATGGTTGAAAGCTAAAACTTAGAAAGTATGAGATATATCCCAAAATAGTAAAATGCAGGACAATCTCTACATGAGGAAAAGTTTGCATTACTGATGTACATGTCTTTTTCAAAGTATAAAGAAAGATATTTTCTTATATCTGATAGTGAGTAATTTACTTCAGCATATAGATCCGAAATGATATGCTTTGTAACTATGAACCATAGGTAATATTTTATTATGGTAAGTACATCAGTAATGAATTTTAAGGGTCGATATAATGTATTTATAAGAATATGCAAATCTGACAGAATTTGTGCCAAGTTGTGAAACAAAATAAAACAAGGTGCGACGAAAGTCATTAATTATNATAGGAGATTGGGAGCAGGCTTATTCAAGGAAGGATAAAAAAAATAAGAAGAAAGAAGAAGAATCACCCTCAAAGAAAAATAAGAAAAATGCAAAGAAGGCTGCTGATTTGATTAATGAAGTGGTAGCTAAACAAAAAGAACCTGAAAAAATTGAAATTAAAGACAAAGTTGCCAAAGAAACTGAAAATAATGAATTGAAAGAAAAGGAGAAGAAAGATGTAGTTCTTATTCCTATCTCCAATGAAGAAATAGCAAAGGAGGCTGAAGATCAAAAGAAGGAGGAACAGCCTAAGGTATTTTATATATTATTTGTATATATTACTATATTGTATTATTATAATAATTTATTTCAATCTCTGTTTAAGATTGAAAAGGTAGAAAAAGAAGAGAAAAAAAATGGGAAACCCAAGAAAGGTAAAAAAGTTTCCGAAAGTGAAATTGCACCTGTAGCTATTCCAAAGGTAGACGATAAACTTCAGGAGCAAAAGACACAGAAGAATGAAGAAAATACAGAAAAAGTTTCCGACGATGTTGAACAAAAAAGTCCTAATGTTACGGAAACACAGGAGAAAAGTGGTCCTGTATTTGACGAGCTAGGAGGTAATTTCTTCTCTGTAATGTAGAAATTATGGTTGTCTGAATTTTTAGATAAACACCTATAAGTGTTTTTTTCTTTTTGTATGTGTTTCAGATATCTGGACAGAAGCTAAACCGCAAAAGAAAAGTAAAAAGAAAGCTCGTAAAGATAACTGAGAGTATTTAAATGTAATGAAAATTATATTCCTTGTGAAGAGGAATAATGTGAGAGTCCTGCTTAGTCCAAACGACATTTGTCATTTCGGACTTATCAGGTGCGTTTTAAGTGACTTACGAATCAACCACCTGACCAAATTGTTCCTTTCCCTTGTACATAACGCCAATGGGACTAGGTTGTTTGATGGATTATGTTTGATAGACTTCATGACTGTAGGTGCATAAGTGAATGTATGAAGAAAAAATCTTTATGTATTATTGATTTTTTCAACATACCACAATGGTTTGCTTTAACAAAAGCAATGCATTTAACGAAAGAGGCATAAGTCATAATTTTCTCTATAAAATAATTATTGTACACATGTTACTCTTTCAAAAATCTCCATATGTCCATATTTGACGGATTAGTATTCTATGATTTACAGCTATATCTATATTACATATTTATAAGGTCTTCATATTAATCTTACATTATTAACGAGATGGTACTTATGTCTTTTACGTTTTATCCAGAAATCTTAAACAGAGTGATTTTGTTAGGCTAGTTATGATTTTCTATCCTAACGAATAGCACATTCTTTTTATCGTATTCGTTATATACATACACATATATGTATATGTTATATGTATATAACGGATGGTTGAAAGCTAAAACTTAGAAAGTATGAGATATATCCCAAAATAGTAAAATGCAGGACAATCTCTACATGAGGAAAAGTTTGCATTACTGATGTACATGTCTTTTTCAAAGTATAAAGAAAGATATTTTCTTATATCTGATAGTGAGTAATTTACTTCAGCATATAGATCCGAAATGATATGCTTTGTAACTATGAACCATAGGTAATATTTTATTATGGTAAGTACATCAGTAATGAATTTTAAGGGTCGATATAATGTATTTATAAGAATATGCAAATCTGACAGAATTTGTGCCAAGTTGTGAAACAAAATAAAACAAGGTGCGACGAAAGTCATTAATTNTTAATTATACACATAATACAAATAATTTATATTTAATCCAAAGAATATGTTAATATAATTTACAAAATACTAGAGCTTTTAATTTCTTGTATATATGAAATGCTGAAAAAGAAAATGTTATAAATAATCAATTATGCACAGAGTGCTCTTGTACCGAATCAATTATTCATTTACAGTGTACCACAGGTAATGATGAATTGTGAATTGACTTTCGAAGTACCTAGTTATATACAGGGTGAAGCACTTGAAATTACCAGCTTAGTTCTTATCAATATTATTTTTTAACTGAAATGTGATAGATAAAACTTATATTTTTCGAAGAAGTACAAATATGTTGTTAAGCGCTGGAATTTGAAAGATATCTATGTTTTTATTTTCGTCGTTTAATCACATGTTTAAGGACGAAAGCGCGTTTTTGAAGATTAAAAATTTGTCATTCCACAAATAATGAGTTTTGCCTACATAAAATATATTTTAAGAGACCTACTAATACAGTGTGAAACAATTGATATCGATTTCACAAATCAAGACTGAAGGAAGGGGCGATAATATTTCAAGGGTGATTAAAAGGGCTCAGAGATAAAACAAGAAATGGCCTATGGACCGTTTTACGGTAATGTCGCCTTAGAGTTGTGAAATATTTTTACCTGTTTATGCTACAGTAATACTTCTTCCAATATTCTTAACCTAATCCAGTGACTTAGTCTAATATTTGTCAATGTTCGCCAACAGTCCACAGAGTACATAATATACTTTTATCTTTGCAAATGTGTTTTTATAATTTACAGAACTCGTTTACGTATTTACCTTTTTAGCGCCTTTACTTTTACACGACAGGAAACATTCAAACGTTTTTTCAAGCTTAATAACGTTGCGATATTTTAACGAAAATGATCTTTTGCTAAAAAAAGTTTCTCCTTGCTCTTCCTTTTTGTTATCTGAATTTCTTCGAAATATATGGCGTTTCTTCCATATACTTACAATTAATCATACAGTTTGGAATTCGTAATTTGATTATAGCTCATAGAAAGGAGTGGACATTAGTCTGTGATCATCTATTGTCATATAAGAATTTTATATTAAACTTATAAAGACGAAATTAATGATTTCTGTAGTAGAAATTTTTATATCCTGTGTTTTGTTTTCTAAAATATCCCGTGTCACTTGAAATTATTAATTAAACCTGGAAATTATCTCAAGCGTGTATTTTGGAAGTTCATCAAAGATTCACTATGGGCAGGTATTTTCGAAAGATTTCAGTCTCTTCCACATTTTATTTTGTTATCGAGCTGAAACATTAGGATCGTTCACTTTCGATTGTAATTACATAAACATTCATTTATAATGTATAATACTAATTTTTTAACGGTAATATTAGTACGAATTAAAGTAATAATTTCAAGAGCTTTATTCTGCGAATTAGAAAAAACGCTGAGCCTTGTCAGTGTTAACGATCGATTTGTAAGAATGATTTCAATGATGCTTAAAAGTACTTGGAAGCGAAATATGGGCCACAGACCATGAACATGATTCTGCTATTCATCGATTATTTGTAAAAATAAAAACGATCCGAACCGATCGTTCACATCTTGCGCCATGCATATAGCGTAGTAAAAAGTTGAAAGCTGTCTCTCAAATGTAATAACGTGTATATTGTAACAATTACGTACGGAGAGAGATACGAGAGTTGTAACTTTTCCGACAGTATTTGTCTCAAAGGATGAATTAGATTTCGAAGATTCTGGCGATGCCGTTCAAAATTGAACGTCGTGTCCCGAGCTTCTGGTTTCTAAAAGAAAAAAAAAGGACATAGATTAGAGCAGAGAGAAAAGCAGAAGAAATCTATATGAAAAATGACGATAGCTCGTAGTTGCGTTTATTGCGCGTACCATGTGTCGTTGTAACAGTTGATATAGAAAATTTGCTACAGTTGTTCTTTCGGGACGATTCTATTTAAGTAGCGTTACATGTTAGCACGTAAAAAATTATAGTACGTATATTTAACGAAGGAAAAAGAGAGGGACGGATTGCACGTTGGGTATACGGCGAATGGAGTATTGTGATAAGTAAACTAATATCTGTATCCGAGGATTACGTAAACCATTTAAAATAGTATTGTTAAATGATGCTAACATTTATATATAGCTTATACCGATAACGAAACGGGGATGAAACGATGTCTGTTTAATATAGCTATTAAAATATTTTGTATTTTCATCCTGCATCTATTTTTCACAATTGTTCGCTTACGGTATTCGCGGCATACCAATGCCAAGAGCGTTGCTCGTTCTCTCATATATTTTTTAAACGCATCTGGCTTAGAAAACGTCGGCATTCGGGTGGCTATTTCTTTACACAAGTGCGAATTTCAAACGAGCTTCGATCCTATAAATAGTGCGAAACGCGACGGACCGTTGTTACGCGAAGTTAAACGAAGCACAGTTTTCCTCGCATTAAATGTGTGTCCCATTCTCGTGCCAAAAGCGTCTATGTCTTGCTGTCTGGTTGCCGATAAACCTCGTACAATAATTATTTTCGCCGCGGAACAATCGCGAGCTTTCATCTTTCGGATATTTATAATCGCATCGTGTACAACGTTTGTTTAGCTGCGTGACTTTTTATAGCGGAGGTGCAGTGTCCTCGTAGTTTCTATAGCTTGCGACAGTATTCCTTCTCTGTAGATGCTATGTAGAAAATCTATAGACTTTATGTTGCTTGAATCTAAGAGGGAGAGAGAGAAGGGAGCAATGAACAAAACGCTGCGAACGTTTTATTGACCGTTCGCTTTTCTTCTGCCCCTTCTCGCTCTGTCTTCGCTGTTTTCTCATCATCGTTACACGCGAAACGTATTAATATCTCCTATGAAAATCGAAAGAAAGATGATCCTTAGTAACAAACAAGGAAAAATATCGTAAACTTTCAAAGTACCCAACTGGAAGTTTGGTGCTTCATGTAGAAACGAAGAAGACGGTTGTAAAGTGGGAATACCGAATTGTCTGATTTCAATTGGTCTGTAAATTTGTGTTGCGAAACAGTTCGTTTGAAAATCTTCGCTTGCGTTGAAAGCACCGTTCGCTTTGCGAAGAATGCTTTTGCTTGTGAGCACTATGTTTCGATGACGCGTTCCAATGTCTCGTGATATTTCCTTTTTCTTGTACAGACATCGTGTAAGATGGTAATATCCCATCGCAGAGACAAGATACAGCGAACTGTCCAAGTTTTTAAGATTTTCGGAGGAATTTTGGTGTTCGTTGTATTTCGTCTGTTCTAAGTTAACGCTGTTTATAGCTTGGATCCCCGGTGCGAGCCTAAGTGGTACAATATACGGTAAAGGGAACTTCTCGAGTTCCAAAGCTTACGTTTAGCAGTGATCTACAGCTTGCGTTAGACCGTACTGACTTAAATGATAGGCGCTAAGCGAATCGGATGACACAACTGTAACTTTGTGTTCTCCACGTGCATACGACAGTCTTAGTTAATTTTCGGGAGTGGTCGGTGTCTGGGTCCGTTTGGAGACCTGCGAGTGTTTTCTATAAAATCAAATTCTTCAATCGAGAATTCCTTCAAACAGACTCGGGCATTTCCCCGCGAGAGGTTAACGATCATGGTCCCTGCATTCACTCGAATGCAGAACAATAGGTAAACTAATATCGAATTGTTTGAGTTTAAGTTGCGTGTTGAGCCGAACTGTGTAAAATAGAATATCTAGAAGCGTACAGTTTGGTTGATTCGAGCTGCAGAAAGACGCAACGGATAAGAATATTTTCTTTACATGACCTTTTTGTCTGGATTCGTGTGTTACGTAGTGCACGCGCATGTGTGTGTATGTCTTTTTTTTGCCGAAAAAATATTAAGTAAACTTTCACGAAGGTATCGTCTAATCGGTCAAAACAAAACCACACCACGAAGGCAAATGAATGTCGTCATGACTGCTTATGACGAAGAGATAGTAAAATGATTTGCGAATCGAAGCAACGTTTACGGCGTTAAATTGCTACATGATAATATTCTTTTTTTATCAATGTTTCTTGGCATCTCTTGGCGATTTCTTAGTGTTACGATTGAACGTTAGTTAATTGTAACAAATGTTTCTATAGATTGGAGGATTCTTGGGGTACTTAAATTTAATAATCTGGACTAACCGAGCAGCTGCTGAATAATGCGATCTAAGTGTATTTAATGTTATCATATTTTTGTATGTAATATTCTTCTAACTCGCGTAACGATAGATGTATAAAAGGAAAGTTATTCCCGATCGTACGCTCGGGAATTTTGGAGGTTTTCGAGGATGCGTTTATCGTAACGATATTATATTTTGAATAAAATTTTTATCCGATTAATTTATTGCCTAACGTGTAACCAAACATTCGTGCGAATTACTGTGGAACCGTCGTGAAATTCTAAAGTCGAATCAAAATTTAATTAGCTGTCCAAGGTCGTTCTTCTGGCTCGGAATGTTGTCAAATATTTGTTCGCTTTTTCTGTTCGAACACAAATTGTACTACGATGAAGGCCACGAAACAGTTGGACAACCATATTGTCGCCTCTAAATTATTGTAAAAATTACTTTAGAAAATTTGTAAGATTTCTAAGGGACCTCAAAACATTGCGGTGAGTTTTTCTTGGTGCTCCACGACAACCGATAAAAAGAAAAAACTCCATTGCACTGATTAAAGTCGAAAGAATCTATTGTCGCTATTATATGTATATACAATATATGTATATTATATATGTATGTGTTAACCAGCAATGTCCTAACTAAATATGTGTCTGCAATTTCATTGTGTACCGTGGTGGTAGTAAGTCGAGCATAAAACAGGAGAATTCGTGAATAATATTGAATTTATCGATAAAATAAGGATATTTCGATATGGCGATCAGTGTCCAATAATATGATAAACAACAATGTTTTTTTTGAAGTTACGTTCTCGCCGTACCATGATTTCTTTTCGCGACTCGTATCCTTGGAGCGAGACAAATATTTTCATCGGTGTGTCGCCGAGGGACAAAATCGCGATACCGATTTAGATTTTAGAGGCCTAACGCATGCAATACTATCGAAACAATAATAGTCGCGATATTCTGGGACTCTGGTTGAAATATCGTAATCAGAACGGAACAAAGTACAGAATCAAGAAATCCCCAACGTTGTTCCATGAAGCGAGAACATCATGGTTCTGCGCGATCTTAGTTTATTCGTTTGGAAATGTTGTAGCTATTGCAACGATATGTGTGGAGCGTATCGTACTAATTAGCGTTAATGTTGCGGTATCCTGTATAAAACATGTTTGTGTAAAATGCGTGTATCTCGGTCAGCTCTAATCCTAGCGCTACGATACGATTTAATGTTAACATTAAGAAGCGTCGGGAGTGTGAGAGAGAGAGAGAGAGAGAGAGAAAAAAAACAAGAGAAAAGCGAAATTAATATAAGGGCAATTTTCTTCTGAGGTTCGTGGGATGTATGCTATATTATAATCGAAGAGAGAAATATTCTGTTTATGCAGGTCGCGTACGACACATGATAAACATTTCATATTTATTTTTCGAGTGAACCGAAACGTGATTAGAAGCTGCACAAGAAAATCAAAGTTCGACGGTCGATTAACAAATGGCGTTTAACAGCAGAACGTTTCTCCTTTCGCGAACGTATTTACGTTGCCGACCGTTTTAGCAAATGAACACAAAATAAGTGGGTTGGATCACAAGGTAAACGGAGAGTGAGAGTGAGAGAAAGCAAGACACAGGTAAATGAATAAAAATTATATTTTTCCAGCATTCAGTTGCAAAAACCATTCAATGTGCCCGCCCATTATTGTCGTTACATTGTTTTTGTACACACTGAATTGTCACTGCTGATTCTCGAACTATTGTACAAAGAGAGCTATGGCTTACATTCTCCGTGCTAACGATTTTCAAAGTAGAATATGTTGTTTCAAGGGACCATGAATATAGACAAATAAAACATTCACAACTCCGGTTTCTTCATTTTACTTTATCATCGATATATTGCTCCTTCATCGTTTTTTTGTTTGTTTTTGTCTCACGCCAGAGGAATCAATTATATGCAATTTTGATTTCGCTACGAATCTCAACAGGTATTAATAAGAATCCTTTCGAATACCGTTCGTTATTCGCTACAGGAACTGCGGCAAAATTCATAGTACGCATTTTTATTGAAATCAACGTTTAATCTTGTATATATTTTTGTTCATGAATCGAACATACAGGAATTCAAATGTAATTCTCAGACACGTTGGATAAACATTTCAAGATCTTCCTCGAAAGAATTCAATGTATGTAGAAACGATTTGTGAACTTCAACATTTACTTCGGAAAGTCTTAGCGACGCGTAACATTACTTGACGTGTTCCGTACATATTTATTTTACACATACATACATGCGATTACCATAATTTATTCGTAGAATTCTATCGATCTGACTACTTAAGTATTCGTTACCAGGTTCCATAAATTCGTGTTGATGTTACAAAAAATGTAATCTAACCGTTCGCATTCTGTGATAAATATCGCATTCGTTTCTACGATAAATATTATACATTATCCAACGGTATGCTACCATTACTTCCGTAGTCCTTTTTTAGTATACTTGCTACACTTTCTTTTAAACGGTTTAATCGTCTTCGATTCGCGCGCGTTTCTGTCTAGTTGATCGGTGCTGCTTCTCCTATCTAATTCGTTACTTAAAGATTTCTTTCCTTTGCTCCGAACCAGCAGCCTGGCGGTCTTCCTAGACGTTCTGCCTTTGCTCTTGGCTCGTTTCTTCTTCTTGCGCTTCTTGCGATCCATGTTAGCTATTATCGCCTCGGTGTCGGCGGACACTTTCACTTTCGGCTGCTGGATCGTGACGGTGACTCTTATGAACGAGTCGTAAAGGACATCTCCGCAGAACTCGCCGAAGCAAAATTCCTCTCCGCATTCCGTGCAAATTTTTACGCTGCTCTCTATTATGCCAGCGCGATTCTTGCTTCGCCTAATGGGACTCGTCGTCGATCGCCGCTCTCTGGCGATCGTCTTTGCTTCCAGTTTACCCATTTCCACCTGGGGAACAGAAGAACGCGAATAAACTTGACAGAATAACTTTCCATCTGTTGATAGTTCTACAAGATATTTTTCTGTTGAAAAATTTGTAATAGCGTCTCGAAATTCATAAGCAGAATAATGCGAATACCAATCTTGAAAACATCTCTTCGTCCTGACGTTGCTTCGGCCTGAGGGGCGTCAACATCCTCCAGTCAATGGCAACCTGCTGTAATTCTCCAAGATTCAAACCTCTCATATCCGGCGGTATTGGATTTCCATAGTTCCACTCTTTTCCGAATGCTTTTATCTCTTTCTTAGTCGGTCTCCAGGAAAAATCCTTGTCGCGCACCTTCGCGTCGTCTTTCTTCACCTGTGTTCACAATTTTTAGATTCTACAGAACGGCGTATATTTGAAAAGTAATCTTGTACGGGGTGTAAGTGTATACAGTTCTATTGCATTTGTTTAAGATCACTTCGAAGACACTTCAACAAACTACAAGGTGTTCAAAAACTCTCGTTACACCGGACCGGGGGTGATTCCTGATGTAATTTGAAGTAACTTTATCCTGGAGGCGCGGAGAACATTTTTGCCAAGAAAAAAGTTATTTCGAATTACCTTCCAGGATTACCTCAGTATGTGACAAACAAAGAGACAAGCCTTGTTTCAGGGATCAGGAGAAGAATGCAGAAGTTGAGCAATTTAGTTTACAATTGAATTGAAGTTAATTTCGTGTAATGTTAACTTCGAATCATTCGGACCTTTTCCGGCTTGATTTTGAACTCGGGACAGTTCTCGAGCAGTCGCCGGAACTCCTCTGGAGACTGACAGGTTGCTTTACTTAGGTCAGGCAATAAATTTGCGTCCTTCTTATCCTCCTTTAGGAGATCCTCGAGCTCAAACGCCATTATTTACATCTGCAATCCAAGAAAAATGTTCAGCCGTGATTCCTCGAGACAGAAGTCTCCAATTCTGGTTCATCTCATGCTNTTCTGTCTAGTTGATCGGTGCTGCTTCTCCTATCTAATTCGTTACTTAAAGATTTCTTTCCTTTGCTCCGAACCAGCAGCCTGGCGGTCTTCCTAGACGTTCTGCCTTTGCTCTTGGCTCGTTTCTTCTTCTTGCGCTTCTTGCGATCCATGTTAGCTATTATCGCCTCGGTGTCGGCGGACACTTTCACTTTCGGCTGCTGGATCGTGACGGTGACTCTTATGAACGAGTCGTAAAGGACATCTCCGCAGAACTCGCCGAAGCAAAATTCCTCTCCGCATTCCGTGCAAATTTTTACGCTGCTCTCTATTATGCCAGCGCGATTCTTGCTTCGCCTAATGGGACTCGTCGTCGATCGCCGCTCTCTGGCGATCGTCTTTGCTTCCAGTTTACCCATTTCCACCTGGGGAACAGAAGAACGCGAATAAACTTGACAGAATAACTTTCCATCTGTTGATAGTTCTACAAGATATTTTTCTGTTGAAAAATTTGTAATAGCGTCTCGAAATTCATAAGCAGAATAATGCGAATACCAATCTTGAAAACATCTCTTCGTCCTGACGTTGCTTCGGCCTGAGGGGCGTCAACATCCTCCAGTCAATGGCAACCTGCTGTAATTCTCCAAGATTCAAACCTCTCATATCCGGCGGTATTGGATTTCCATAGTTCCACTCTTTTCCGAATGCTTTTATCTCTTTCTTAGTCGGTCTCCAGGAAAAATCCTTGTCGCGCACCTTCGCGTCGTCTTTCTTCACCTGTGTTCACAATTTTTAGATTCTACAGAACGGCGTATATTTGAAAAGTAATCTTGTACGGGGTGTAAGTGTATACAGTTCTATTGCATTTGTTTAAGATCACTTCGAAGACACTTCAACAAACTACAAGGTGTTCAAAAACTCTCGTTACACCGGACCGGGGGTGATTCCTGATGTAATTTGAAGTAACTTTATCCTGGAGGCGCGGAGAACATTTTTGCCAAGAAAAAAGTTATTTCGAATTACCTTCCAGGATTACCTCAGTATGTGACAAACAAAGAGACAAGCCTTGTTTCAGGGATCAGGAGAAGAATGCAGAAGTTGAGCAATTTAGTTTACAATTGAATTGAAGTTAATTTCGTGTAATGTTAACTTCGAATCATTCGGACCTTTTCCGGCTTGATTTTGAACTCGGGACAGTTCTCGAGCAGTCGCCGGAACTCCTCTGGAGACTGACAGGTTGCTTTACTTAGGTCAGGCAATAAATTTGCGTCCTTCTTATCCTCCTTTAGGAGATCCTCGAGCTCAAACGCCATTATTTACATCTGCAATCCAAGAAAAATGTTCAGCCGTGATTCCTCGAGACAGAAGTCTCCAATTCTGGTTCATCTCATGCTCTCTCTCTCTCTCTCTCTCTTTCTCTCTTTCTCTGCACAATCGTACATTCTACAATAATAAAACAAAACAAAACGATAGTGTGCGAAACGGCGCGGTTTTTCTGATTATCGTTAAAAGATTTCGGACGCTGCGGGAGAAACCAAGCATCTCTCGGAATTCCATTCGATTTGTTTCATCAATAGTCCCTGAAAGAACATGTCCATTACAATCGGTACTATTGTCATTGCTGTCACAGTTTATGCATAAACTGTAACTGTAAAATATAATTATATGTAAATTCAAGTACGCGATAAATACATTTTTCAAAGTGGACAACTTCGACAGAATTTCTTGTCCGCACCAGACATTGGAATTCTCATTGTCCGATTGTCTGGCATTATCAGTCTCGTTAACGCGATCGTTCATCGAGCGAACCTTATCGTTTCGCTCTAATCTGTTGTCCTCGATAGTTATCCGTCCATTTTTATCGGTTCGTAGAGGTATGATGGAGTTCAAACTGTCCATCGAAAGGTCCGCGTCGTAGCTGTCCGGCTTCACTTTTTGCCTGTTTAGAGATCGTGTTTTCAATTTCGTGTTTATTAGTTTCCTTCTGTCCGGTGACGGTGACCTGTTCGAAATAGGATTTTTTAGTACTCGTCGTTAATTAACGAATATATTAGGTCGGCCCGTAAGTCGCGTCGTTTTGTCAGAGAAAATGATATCTCCTTATCGGATCAGTGAAAATCATTGAAGTACCTAGATCTTTCGTCGCTCGATTCAACTTGGCGTCTCCTCATCCGTAACCGTCGTTGATAATGGGGATCCTTCTCACTCTGAGTTCGATATCGAGTTCCTGGTCTACGAAATTATTATATTATAATTATTATACTATTATAATTATTATAATTACTATAATTCTCCGCAATGGTTAAATCAGTCGACTAAAATCTAGATCATTACCTATTAGCATTCCACTGCGGCCTAGAGTTAATAGAAGTTCTAGGCTGAGATTTTGATCGAGAATGACTTTTAACAGGACCTTCGCTTGTGGACCTTTAAAATCATATAGAAACATACAATAACGTTCGAAAAACGCTGCTTGAAAGAACTGCTGGCATTCGCAGCAGACAATAAGATAGGACAATTGGTATTAATATGAGAAAATAACAATTCGTACACAAAATCGGGCTGCTTAGTTTTTCGGAGATGTTAAACTAACTAAGAGTTTTGTCTCATCGTAAACGCACGCTAGACGTTTATCATCATCAACATTCAAACTTCGCGGATTCGTAAAGCAGCCAAATGCATGAAGTATGGTTTTGATCAATTTTATCCTTTCAATATTGTTCGAAAAGCTACTCCAGAAAATGTTTTCTCAAAAACTCGATGGTTAATCTTGATTATTACAAAAATCATCCACTCCTTACTTTTAGCTGCTTTACAAAATTACAAAGTCTCAGTGGTTCAATAAAATTCAAGCACGTGGAACTATGTACATAAGGACGAGTCATAAGTAATTTCCATTTTTAGAATAAATTACAACGATGTCGGCGCAATGATTCAAAAGTATACTGCGGATCTTTCTGCAAAATGAAAATTGTCTGTACTTGTTGCAAGAAACAGATCTTTCTTTAATAACTTGAAAAAGTCAAAAACGATACATTGGTATCCTTTAATTATTTAAATTTTTGGCCACTGTATTAATTCGTGCCTATTCATTTATCTGATAAATAATATTAATGTACTATAAGGAAACTTGTCTCTGACTCGACCTAATAGTTTATAACAATAAATGGTATCCGTGCTAATCTAACGAGGATCGTGCCCGAAAAAATGTGCACCCGAAACCGTTCGCTGTTCCCCCGACCAAAGGTGCACAGAAAAGTCGAAAAATTCGCAAAACGAAATGAAACAATAATTACCACTATTCGCAAGACAGAAGAATAATATCCTCTACGATTCCTCAAGTTTTGAAGCGATTCAATGCATCATATTACGACTCACTTTTCAATGTCCCTTTTACTAGCATTCGTCGCGTTCTTGCGGTCCTTCATTGTAACATTCTTCATAGTCATGTCCTGCAGATCCTCGCGAGAATCTTGGAGATCGTTCTCGACGTCGGTCTGCGTGCCAAAATCTCGACCGTTCGTCACTCTGTATTTGCTAGGGGTCAGCAGTCTATTCTCTACGATCGTTGACGGAATCCTGGAGGTTCCAATACCGTGCACGAAACTGTTCAAGCCCATGAGCAGATTGCTCGAGCTGTTCTCCAGTTTCCTGGGCGACGGTGTCAACACCAGATTCACCAATTGCAGATTGGCCTTGTTCAACAGTTCCGAGTCCTCTAGTCTACCGCTCAACACTATCGCCACTTCTTTGCTAATAGGAACTTGAACCGATTTGACGTCGTTCGTGCTCGAAGTTCTCTCCGAAACATTCCGCGGCTTCTGATCGTCATTGCTCCCCGCTGTTTCCTTCTCGCTCGACGTGTCCCTGTCCTTCTTCGTATCTTGAGCATCGCTGCTAGGACTCGAATTCTGGCGAGTCCTTTCGCTTACACAGTCTTGATCCAACTGGCTTGCGTTCGAACTATTCGAGTCGAAGTTTCTGGAAGAACTAATGGCAGTGTCTTCGTCTGTTTCTTCGCGTTTGCGACGATTCTTCTTTTGCTCCTTGGCCAGACGTTCTGCAGCCTCTAGCACCTCGCGCATCGCTTCCGCTTGTCTGAACTTCGCCGCTTCCTTCTCTTTCAATCTCCTCTGCTCTTCCTCGAATCTGATCCAGATGCAAATGATTAGTTAATGGATTTCATTTCATTTCGTAAATAAAATAAAAATACACCGCGAAATACCTTTTCTGCTCTTTTTCTCTTTCGAGCCTGATTCGCTCCTCTTCCAAGCGTTCTTCTCTCAGTCGCCTCTCTTTCTCTTCCTTCCTCTGTCGATCCTTCTCTTCCAGTTGCTTTTTAATCGCGTTCTGCAACTCCAAAGCCTTCTGTCTCTTCGCCTCCCTTTCCTGGAGGATGGCTGCGTCCACAGGGATGTTTTGGCCACGAAGATAGGTTTTGCTGGTCTCAGACCCGGTCGTGCCTACCGTCGAACTGTCCGAACTGCTTGCGCTTTCATGATTGATCACCAATACCTAGAAGAATATTAATTCAATTTAAAATCAGTATTAAATCATTACTAGACTGCGGATGTTCTGCATTTGTGATCAAATTGAAGAGTGTCCTTACATTCTCTCTAATTCATTGAAATTATTGGTACAAGAAAAACATTTTTATTTACGCCTTGTTTTTTGCAATTGAATCACATACATATAAACAAAAATGAACGGTTTTCATTTTCTCATTTTTATTTCAAAAGACCGTTCCTTTAATAGAATTGACCCCGTCTGGATTTTTTAAAAAATCCTTGGAGAACAATGTGTTCATATTTTTAACTAAATGATACGATTTATATTATCTCTGTTTACTAAAGCACGGCGGAAAGATCGCGTGTCGCTGATGCGGACTAATTGATCTACTAGAGCACAAACTCTAGGCGCAGTAGTCGAATGCTCGTACCTGACTCGAGTGTCCTAATCTCGAAAGCCAAGAAGGCGGGGGTGGATCTCCTCGCGTGGTTTCCTGACCCCAGACACTGCCCCACCTTGGCCTGTTAAGTTCGCCAATTCTGCCATCAGATAATCTCCTCGATGGTGGCAACGAACTCTCGGGTGTGGTGCAGTAAGGATTCTGCCAAGTTTTCTCGATCATCTCTCCACCTGGCCGCTTGCAGTCCGGTAACAATGCTAATGTCAAATGAAAAATCATATTTATCAGCATGTATAATAATTCGATGGCTGATCAATGAAAACTCGTAACAGTGCTTAATAAAGAAACCCTTTCATCACTCTGCGAATTACATATGCATGTACACTGTAACGAAGTGGTTTCATTTCAGCAATTATTACAGCGACTTCATATGCAATCAAAAATACCGATGGCTTAATTTCACCTTAAAATTCTGCGTTTGGAAGGGATTTCTACTGAAGTATTAAGAATGTCTATTATATCATCTCTCTTCTAAAATTGAGTGTATTTTTTTCGCTTCTGAAAGGTCACAGTCTCTTACTTCCGGTGGTCGATACGGGCACGTCGACAGAGTCGCTGGCGTAACCGGAAGTCTCTCCCTCGCGGTCCTCGCTCTGCAAGCCGCAATGAGTTTTTTCGGGATTCTCGTAACGATCGTAGGCCCGATGGTCGTGTTGTTGAAGCTTTCCTGACCGATAACGCAATCCCTCGCCGCCGAAGTCTCGTTGTTGATTCTAAGAAAATAACAGAGAAAAACCCTGATGTATTCTTGGAGCGTCGCGTGACCCAACAGCCATTTTGCGATTTTCATCAATCTTCAAAACCTGCTTCCTCTACCGTGGAGGTATGTCGTATATACACCGCGTATGATTGCTGTGCCAGTTCGAGACAGGGGCGACAAACCGTGACAGGGTTTGTATCGACTTTCAAGATTTAACATTCATGCATTCTAATTCTAGTATTTATAGAATCGCTTGTGACGTGACTGCTGCAAGATCGTGTTACGACACAAAAGTTCCGCGGAACATCTTCGAAATATTTCTAGGCTACATTTTATTATACAGCGAATTCTCCCTAAAATTCTCCCCCATATTCTCCCTAATATGACGATCTACATTGAGAAAAATAAAATACAGTCAATTCTCCCCGATTTTCCTTCAGCTTGAAAACCTTTATTATACAGCGAATTCTCCCTAAAATTCTCCCCCATATTCTCCCTAATACGAGAATCTACATTGAGAAAAATAAAATACAGTCAATTCTCCCCGATTTTCCTTCAGCTTGAAAACCTTTATTATACAGCGAATTCTCCCCCATATTCTCCCTAATATGACGATCTACATTGAGAAAAATAAAATACAGTAAATTCTCCCCGATTTTCCTTCAGCTTGAAAACCAAATTAAAAAACGATTATTTGCACCTTGTTTTTATAATTGTTCGAATAATCGCATCTCCTCTTAAAATATTGCCCATTTTTGTTTACAAGCCGAAGGAAAATCGGGGAGAATCTACTGTATTTTATTTTTCTCAATGTAGATTGCCATGTTTTAAGAAATAGATAAAAATTTTTATTAATGGGCTGCTTCGTGACAAGTAACTATAACTCGCGAAACAGATAATCTCTTTAGAGTTAAACGGAGCTCGTGATCGATTCAAACATTGATATAGATTATAAGTTTCCACCTTTTCCCAGGAAAGTTGGTCATTGAAACTTTCGTATACTTGGATTATGTACGTATAACCCGTTAGACAAGGGGTGACTGAACTCTACGATAAGGATCGATTTGCCAGACTGCCTTACTTTTGCTTTCCCCCTTACGAATGAGAAGTTGTCACGTATAGCTTTCAGCGTAGTCCTTGTACGACAATTAAAAACTGTTCTCATTTGTTATTCCACCATGAAACGGAATAATTCAATAGTAAATTATACGCTGGTAAGTATATATTTGTTGTAGATGGTAAGTTACCATTGGTAGCTGACCCGTTATGACAGTAATAGAGCGTTCATACGTCGTTATTATACAGCTACCATGCGCTAAAGAATAATTACGTAAAATCATGCTTCGTTAGATTCGTTTCTAAACACCGAAATATTTATAGGCATTCGAGCAACGGTAAAGTAAAACGATACGAGACTTCGTGATTTTTTAATCAACTGTAATAAAAATATATAGCGACATTTACTATCAATTCTTTATAAAATTGTACTTATACGAAAGTTTTATTATATAAATAATAATATAAGAAGATAAATATAAAACTAAAAAACAGATATAAATAAGAATATAAAAGATTATTCTTTCAATTACAGATTTTTCAAAGCTATAACCGAAAAGTCTGATTTTCTTAGTTAACAAGGTCCTCAGAAAGTTTGCAATTTCCATTAATCCTTTGAGGAAGGGGATTCTTCGCAGTATCATGAATAATTTCCTCGGAGAACTGGACTCTGAATCAAATCCTTATGCAAACACGTGAAGCAAATTACACGCTCGCAATTACTGGGATAAGACGCGTGCTCCTGTGATGTCGTCGATACGTCGACGTTCGTCCTGGACAAGTAAATCCCGGATACTCCGAGAAGGTTCGGGGGGAAATGGTAAATTGTGCCTACAGCTAACATTCTATTCCCCTAACAGAGTCTAGGATCGAGGGTTTCGTGCGGACAGACCTGAGAGAGATATTGTTGCTGGTCCTTGCTGTAAATCGGCGGTAGGCTCGGGCTTCTGTGCCTGATTTGCGACGCATCCGGTTCCTCGTTGAGATTTATCAAGCTACCACCATTGCAGTCGAGACACTTTAGGCTCGTGATACCGTTTCCGGAGCTCTCGATCGCGAGACTCTTCAGGCTGGCGGTGCTTCCGTAATGGCCGCTGGCACGGAAAGGTTTCGAGGACGATTGCCTGTCCTTCGTTTCCGCCAAGGACATTCTTGCGCCGGCCGGATAGCTGTTGCGTTACGCGTTTTATTATGAACTGTACAGAGGGGTCGAGGGTCGCTTGATTTATCTAACGGATCGATACGTCTCGCGTACAGCTTTTAAATACGCTAATTAAACGCTTCTGGTCGCGGCCGGATCGCACGCGAACACGGCATCGCTAACAGCTATTCGCGAACATCGGTTCCTCAAACTCGAAGAATTCTTCTAGACACTCGATCGTTCGTTAATTAAAAACGCGCCGGCTACTGGACATTTTCATTGCGCAAAGTGAACATTAGTTTCGTACAAATTCTGTGCGATTTTCAAGTTACGCATCTATATTAGATCTTGATCTTTTATCTAAAAGCATAACATTTCAAGTTCAAAGATGTATCGTGTAAATGATTTTGTATGATTTATTGTCTTTCGTTATTTTCTAAATTATTTTATTAGTTGTTGTTTCTATTATAATACATATATGTACGTATGTTTGATCGAGGACGTTCGTCAGAAACCGTAACAAATACGAAGTTTGCATTGCAAACGCAAGGTAACAGACGGTAATAAATAAAATGTTAACACGCAAGGCTGTGGTTCCGGTGAATTTGGATGTAAAGAATTTATGGAGTTACACGAGCAATTGATCATACGTCTGAGTAATGCACTTGTCCAACGCGTCTGACTATGACGCACTGTTTCTACTTATTGCAACCGACTACGTATGTAGCTGCGCTATTCTGAGATTTGTAATAATTCAATTCAAAATCATATTTACCGATCTTGTTTATGCGAATCAATGTACAATTGACACATGTTATTATTATTTTCATCGATTAAAAGGGATTTAAATTTCGGTTGTAAAAAGTCGCCGTGACGTGTAGTCGTTTGAACGATCGCAAATGATACGGATTAAATTGCAGCTATTCACTTTTGACATGAATGCATGAAATTCGTAGAGTCTACCGATGATTTACTATTTCGAACTATACTATTAAATTAACGTGTCCCGGAATGTTGTGCGTGGACTGCGGATCTTCGTGCGAAACGAACGAATTGTCTGATTTAATTGTAAGAAATGTAAGTCACGGAAAACTGTCTTTCCTCTTTTAACAGTTGCGACAAGTTGAAAACACAAATGTAACAATATTTTTAAGCTCTCTTAATGTCTCCGCAGTTTCGCAGTTTTGACCTATACAATTTTGTCAAAAATGCACAAAATCCGCAGCCCACTCGTGTTCTATCATTCCTAATGAATACTCACCGAACGTTGGTGCGGATATTGCCGTTACTTTTCAAAAATCCCCAACTCCCGCTGAGTCGCGCCATTTCTTCTACAGTATTCGCATAAATTATTAACGGTGCCATGCACAATGTCAGTCGTTCTAATTCTAATAAATCCTTCACATACATCGAACCGATACAAGCACGACAGGCATGTCGTATTAACTCTCATCGATAAACCTATTCGGATATTCGTAGCGCACAACCTCTAACATCGGAATAGTTACAAATTCAACTGAAAATTATCCGCGTCTCGAGTCGAAACCACGGATTCCATCTGATCGCGGTTTCTAACACGTTCCAAACGATTCAACAGATTGCCACGGCTACCATCTAAACACCGGCACTATACCGAACGATTCGGAAATACCGAAACTTACCTCTTTCTCTCGCCCATTGTATCCTCTTTTGTTCCACTAACGACGTACGTCCGATCATTCTTTGCGCGCGCCGCGATTGTGCACGAAAAGAAAAGGAAATATCACTGGGTCAATAACGACATGGTGGAACGAAAAGGATACGGCAGAAACGAAAATGAATAGCCTACATCATCCAGCCTCCGACGGCTCGTCTAGTTTTACCTACATGCTGTTTTCTAGCCCCGATCAGCGGCGAGCGTTCGATCTTCCGGAGCGTAACGACTTCCGGCGCGAACTTTCGGCTGGGTTCGAGACACCGGGACATCAGAGGACGATGCCTGGGTTCATCGTGGGTCGTGTCAATATTTGAGACTGCGGTAGGCCCGCCACACCGTACAAGGTTTGCCCGGTTACCTACACATACGTCCGTATCAAAGGAAAGGTACGCGCGGACGCGATTCGATCGCGAGTTACGTTTCTATGGGAACAATCGTGAATCAACCACGGAACTCTCTTGCACTGGCTGTCAGGGTCGATAATATTGACCAGACACGGACAAGATAAGGGATAATGACCTCCAGCCATCTGTTTGACGGTCAGAGATTGCATCTTCGACGATGGAATGCGAACGTGCGATTGCGATCACAGGTACAGGATCGTCAAACTGCGGATTTTACGATCCGAGCGTGCCACGAAATCCGGGAATTTCGAGTTACACGATTTTTACGCGCCCTAACACTGAACCCTAACGAACCCTGGAAGTGACTAACGCGTGTTGCATTAGAAGACTGTATTTATTTAGACTCCTCGGAATTTGTATTGTAACGAAAGAGCCTTTATATTAGTGCATACTTTATTTTACAATTTTTAACTAGTAAAATCGATGGATTTCGTACTCGATGATCTAATGATCTCGATAACTTTAAAACAAAAAATGTGGAACCGGTCATTTTAAGCAGTTCCGTCGGGTTAGCATTAACATGATCGCTTTCCCGATAATTTGTGTTTATATTGACTTATGAGTACTAATTTATATTAACTAAAGATTAATAATTGTAATAATTGGAATGCACGCTAATTTTTCGTTTTAAAATGTCATGGAAAATACATAGAATATGGATAATTGTACAATGTTATGATATATATAAATAAATATATGAGATTGTTCGATATAGTTATCATAATTTATTTATGGATAGTTAATTATTTTTTGGAAGCTGATAATAAGAAATATAACAAATATAGCTAGTAATAACAATATATATAGCTGGTAATAACAAATATAACTCGTCAACAAAACTCAATAAACTCAACACCTAATGTATTATTTTGTCGCCCAAAAATGGGGCTTCAGAAACCATTATCATTCCCGTATCGCGCACATCGTTACCGATATGTAAGAAATTTAAACTTCTTAGCGAGGATCGAGTATTCTGTATACCTCATTCATATTACGGCACGTTTTATTATAATCACTCTGTATATTTGATGTTGATATTTTTTATAAAAAATTTAGATGAATAACCTGCAAGCGCTCAATGGCTTTATTGCAAAATAAATTGTTACAAACATTAAAGAATTAAAAATAATCAAAATTATCGATCGTCATCGAATACCGCGATTAATGTTCATCGATATCACAGGTGTCTCGTTTACCGCGCTATTGTTCAGTCAGTTGCAGCGCGATCTCGTTGGGGGGAACAATCAGGTTCAAGGGGTTTTCTTGCAGAAGTGATATGACAAACGGTGGACCTACAGAATGACCACCGCTGACCTTTGGTCCAGTCTTATGGTCAACAATGATCATCCTAGATGTCACTTCTGGTGGTCTTTCCCCAAATGTATGTTTCCCTTTCATCTCTAACTTTTTTTTTTCATATTTTAGATATTTAGAATCACGATGTTGACTTCAACTAATGCTACCTTCTCCTAAATTTAAACAAATTTCCTTTTCTTTTCTAAATTTTAATTGAAATTTAATACATTTTTGCCTAAAACCAAATTTCAGTTTCTTCTCAATTTTAATCTAAATTTATTCGACTTTCCCTTCATTTAACAAAATTTGATCCTCTTCAATTTTAACACAAATTTACCTTTTCGAAATAGAAATTAATATTTTTGTTAGTAATTTTAAATCAGACCTGATACTTGGGTTGTGTGTACTTCTGTACTTCCTGCAGCTTTCCTATTATTTACACTCGTTTAATTTTCTTTCAAGCATACCGCGGATAGTTTCAAGAGATGGTCATAAAAGGAGCAGGTACTAACTAAATAGACGCCCTCTGCTTTTTTCTTAAGTATTTGCTCCCCGATCTCTACACTGTTCAAAAAGGACCAATCACAACCATATGCCAAGCTATCGTGCTCATTGTATTCGCCAATGACGAGCGGTGATTCCGGCTTTTCACAGTTGACTATTCGAAACCCGCCATACATGCACGCGGCAAGCAAGTATTTCCGCGCGAAAGGATCCCATTTCAAACGCCATACTCCGCCGCCGAGGTCGATCTTCGAAATGGGGCTGTTCAGATTTCTTGTGTCCCATAATCTCAACGATTCATCGTAACTGAAAAATATGTAAGTGTACGATTAAAATATCTACTCTGTATTGTTCAATTATTTTTCGATTTCGATACGTCACCTTCCAGATGCTAATAAAAATTCTCTCATGGCATTACTGTGCAAACTTGTTACGCCGGCATCATGAGCTTTATTTATCGCGACAGGACACCTTTCTATTCTAATATCGAATTTTTTAAATTTGCAATCATCACCACCTTAAATATAATAATAATTATTATTATTACAAAATGTTTAAATATTTTTATCGAAAATCGTTCGTTCGTTCATACCGCTATATATCACGTTTGTGTCCCAGTAATCGAAAGCTGTAATCCAAGCTTCGAATTTATGCGCATACCAGGAATTAATATAGATCAGTTCATCTTCATTTATGTCGAATAACGTTATAGAACCTTTCGAATCGCTGACTACTATGCTTAAATTCGATTCGTTATCGTGCGTCCATCTTCCGCTGCACCAGTCTAAAGATAAAGCGAGGATTTCTTTATCTCCTGCAACTTTTTTTCCTGTTAATAATTCCAAATATTCGCTCTCTTTGTTATTTTTCATTTGATATATTTGCAAGTATCCCAGAGAATTTACAACTCCAAGTAAAATTCTATTCTTGCATACGTGTGCCCATTTCATGTCTAAGACAGCAGTTACGTCTAAATCTTGTAATAACGTTAGACGTCCGTTGTGATCAACTTTGAACATATATATTCGTCCTATACGTGTTGATTTTTCTACATCTACCACTGGTTCTTCATTTTGTATTAGTTGGTATGTTCCGCATACAAACACATTTTTATGAAAATTTGATGGGCACCACTCGACAGAGTCTGCAGAAAATTCTGTATCAAAGCTATCCAAAGTATGGAACATATTCGATGACTTGATCTGAAACATACAATCATTTACATTATAACTATGTACTTCTGGGTGAAGATTTAATTTGCTAAATTATATAAAATGTGGGAGCAGCAATCTTATGAAAAGCAACATGAGACTTACACTCAAATTTCTTTATTTGTTACATAAATATTACATTTGGTATAATTTTTATATAAATATGACATACAATTTTAAAATTCATACAAGTTGATATCGTGGACAAACACGTTTAAAATTGTTATTGTGCTAACTTTTTGTAAATGCTTGCTGAATTCACACTGGAAATATAGCATTTGTAAATTGTATAGTCATATA